TATATATAGCACTCCTATTAGTTTGGGGACATTTTGGAATGCCATACCATAACAACAGTACGTCAAGAAAAAATAAAATTGGTCAGTGTATTGCATGCGTGTTAAAAATGAACAAGGATACAGGTCTCTTCATACACTTGAATGGTGGCCAAATCGCCTTCCAAACGAATGATTTCGCCCACCAGCTCGCCGTGGCCCACGCGAACCAGCTCGTACATGGCCGAACCAGCCATGGATGATGCCGTGACCACTATAGAAAGAAAGGATGATCAACAATAACTACATGAAATAATCCAATAATCAGGGTAACAAAAGAAAATCACCTTCGGTCGACACTTGAATAACGCAATGATAGATGGGGTGGAACTTTGTCTAGTTTTCTATCCCTACTTGATTTCCATTGTAGAACTAGTCATATTCTTGTTCTGTTTACACACCATTTCTATTGCATGTTACATAAAGCTCTTTTCTATTGCAGTTCATGTGCTACGTGTATCAATCGAGTAAACCGTGCTTTCAACTGCGAGTTTTATCCGTTCCGCGCCCGTTTGCTTGTTTAATAAAACGTTTCACTTTGATTTTGATTCAATTAAATTTGCCTCTTCCGCGGGTACCATAAACAAAGAACTGTTTACCCATACTAAGTGACTACCTCCACGTGAGGTACTTGTTCTAATCACCTCCCCTCCCCCCCCAGAAAAAAACAATGTCGAGATATTCCGTCTTTCCACATTCCCTCCAACATATAGCATCCTTGCTTTTGAACGCAGGCACGAATCGCTGGTTTTAGATTCCATCATAACTTCATGTATAGTATATTCTTCGATAATGGATTTTATTTTTACGGTATTCACTGCTGTCAAATAAAAAGACAAAAATTGTCACAGCCGATAAGATTCAAAAGGTCATCTTCGACGGTCAGAACGGCAAGCGACCGTTACAGCTATGCGGCTTTGATGGGCTGAAAATTTTGGGGCTCAGTTCAACTGCTCCCTCCNACCACGACTAAATACTTCTAGTTGATATTAGGCTTGCATCTGAGATGGAGTTCTCACGAAAAACAAGTCATCTCTAAAGATATAAGGTCTCTGATCCGGATAGGCTAACTTTATTGGTTTTTAACGATAAAGGTTCTGCGTTAGTCTTGGAGTTGGCAAAACCCTAGGGTTCGGTAGGGGAGAACGAACAGGTTCCAGGTGGGTCATCTTACCGATTTACAAGAAAGATGAAAATTCAGGGTTGTTTAAACAATTTGTAATCACAGAGGAATTCTCGCTGGTACCATATCCATCGATTGTCTGCCTCGCGTGGAGGGTGCACGCGTCAGAACCAGGCTGCTTTTAGATCTGGTAGAGGTAATATAGACCATATTTTCGTCCTTCTCCAAATTCTGGAGCACCGAAATCAAATTCATAAACACAATATATCTTCTATTAACTGAAAGCGGCTTTCGACTGAGTGAACCGCTCTAAACTCTGGCGTTGCCTTTCTCTGAAGGGTATGCCTGAGAAGTTATTTCAACATTACGATGCCTCATACTAATAACCGAAGCCGAGCTCGAGTTCGAGTGTTACTCTCTTTCTCGCTCTGCTTTTCTAATTAACTGTGTCATCGATTCGATTCTGGAACCAACTCCATCCTCTAGCGAGGATGGTGAAATAGATTGAATCCCAGGCGGAAAATATCGCTACCTTGAGTATACAGACGACATTGTATTGCTATATGAAGATCTAGATAAGTTGCAGGTGTTTTCAATAGTATTAGTACCACTGTAGTCATGTTCGATATGGGTCATGCACCTTCAAAGTACAAAATGTTGCAACGTGACTGGGTTGGTTCAGCTCCCAACCTCGCCCTCACTGGGGAATTAATAGACGTAGTGAGCAAATTGCGCTACTTGGGCAGCTACATCTCACCCGGTGGACGCATCGTATATGAGGTGTCAGCTCACATATAGAAGGCTCGATTGGCATTGGCCAACTTTAGACATCTGTGGTTACGTTGCGACACCCGACTGTCCCCAAAGGGTAGAGTGTATGCTGCCGCCTGGTTCTCCTATACGGCGCAAAAACTGGGTCATTGTGAAAACACCACTGTCTACACAGCATTGCTCGAGTCTGGTAGGGTAACCCGGCGAACTACGCTGAGCCTAAGAGCTGAGATTTAGACGATCGTGGTTGCCGATTGGAGCAAGTGATCGACCTTCGTAAATTGTGTTAGTTGGGGCATGTGTTACGCATGTCACCAAATAGGTTGCCACGGCGAGCAATGTTTGTCGAGGCAGTGAGTGGAAAACTCCAAGACTGTTCAAAATAAGACCTGGTACGAGGGTATGAAAACCCTAACCAGGAGACTGTTATATAGGTCGCGCTTGGCTTCCTGGATGGGGGCCTCAGGATCATTGTGATTGATTATCAAAGGCGCTGAGAGATATGGCTGAGTGTCGTAAAAAGAGGCGCTAGTGGATCTCAATTTTTCTGCAACCTTAATCTACTGGAAGTCTCTATTCTCTCCTCGACAATGCTTTCAACTTTCGAATCTTCCCTCTATTCCTTTATCTAAATGAATTGCCAAAAGACAGCAACCAAAACAGCCGCACGGAAGTGCATGACTAGTGATTTTAAAGAACTGAACAAACCAGGACGATGCAAAAGCGAAAATCATTCGGGCAGAAAGAACAACCAGTTAAAAATCAACGAATATGCTTAATTAACCGGAAAAACGTACCAGGACCTGACACAGCGTAGACGTAACCATATTGACTTTCGCGGTCACTCGTTTCAAGTCTCAAATTCCGAAGTGAGTCCTCCATCTGAGATGAAATAAAGATTTGTATGATGAAATAGATGTCCTGACAACCTGCTCCAAACGTTTTAGTCTCACGCGTGAGAGAACTATCAAATGTTCGTAAAAATGGAAAATAAGGCAGAGCATTTGTCGCGAAATTCCTCGAAATTTATCGAAGACTATGGCTGATCTACTTGAAAAAGAAATCCTGAAAGCCTTGGAAAGCCTTGTGAAATAACATGACAAAGAAATTCATCATCATCACTATCATCATAAAACAGCGAAACACGATTAAGCGCATCTCACTAATCGCTGCCAAACTCGCGACGTATACAAAGTTCTTGTCAGAACCAAAGGATTTGGTTGAGAACCCTAATCGTTCTCCTGATTGGTGACTGGACACAAAGGTAGTACCCATCCATAAAGCTCCAATGAACACAAACAAAAAATAATTTCATACTGCATCAGGCGTCGCAAAGGATAATCAGGACCGCGCTGCCCATTGCATCGAGCGGGGTGGGTAG